AAAACATTAAAACACATTAGTTTTTGTATATCTGATAACAAAATCGGTATACTGTTCACAAAGTTAAATGAAAATATTGCTGTGAATAGGTACTTCAGAAGATCTCGGGTCGTTGACTATATTAACATACTATAGTTGTATTCAAAAATTTAGAATTTCGGGATTAATGTACACGAAAATAACCCTACACAAGTCTATCGTATAAAGGAAAATATAGATATATAAGTCACACTTAAAAACCGGTAACTTTCACACGTGAAATTCCTTCGTACCTAATCGTTTCACAACCTTTCAGTGTTCTCGACAATTCGGATGTTTAATATTGCGCAATCGTAATGGCATTTAATATTATGCACGATCGAACGCATAACCAGTAAAATATTAATTTTCACAATATGTCATCTAATGCACAAATAAATAAATAAATACATGCATAAAACAATATGTACAACTGACAATCAATCGAACCGTTCAACGGTATTAACATATTACTAATATGTAGGTATCGCCGCCGACGCCGAAACGAAATCGTAAAATAGGTATTCCACCGTCCTGCAGTCGGCGTGATAAATATTTTTGAATATAAAATTCGACCAGTCGTCGCAGAATGTCGTTTTGAAAATGTGGAATATCTCATCACTTAACCACAAACGGAATGTCTCGGAATAAACTACGAAATTACGATATTACGATAATAATAATTATTATCCGAGTCGAATTAGCGCCAACCCGTTTCCGATTAAAAACGGCGCCATAAAATATTATTGACGGTTAAATACGGTTAAATACGGAAGTTTAAATAAAACCATCAATCATGTTTGTACAGAAAAAACGGCAACGAATATTGGTGTTTAAATATTTCGGAGTGACACATCGGTATTAACCGTAACACGACAATTTATAATATACATTTAGACGATGTTTTTCGGACTTCGTCGCATTCGCAGATCGAAATCACGACCAATAGATGTACCTATATATAACGTAATACCTGGGAATCCTACCAGGTCACGTTGCGTACGGTTACACACTGCGTCCTTGAACGACGCGTGCACGACGGCCGTTGGCAACATTATTATTATTATTATTATTAATCAAACGTATTACATACACTATTATAATATTATAGTTACCACGAGATCTTTCAGTATTATTTCGTACATCAGTCGGACGAATGGACGATAGTGGGGTTTTTTTTTTAATTACTTCTAAATACCTTCCGCACTGCAGTTTTGCCCGGGCCCCGGATGACGACACCGCTCGGAGGATGCACGACCACCGCTTCCGCGAACCGTCGGTTTCCGGAGAGTGGAAATATGCCACGATCGATCGATCGGCTACATACGAACTGGGTCCAAATAAAACCTTTTACAGAGTATTAAAATAAGAAAATATAACACTAATTGAGACCATGTTTTAATACTAATAGTGTCCTGTCAAACTTCGAAAAAAAAAATATTTTTCTTTTCCACTTTTTACAAACTTCTGAATATTTGTTGAGAAAAATCTACAGATACATGGTTTTTAATGTTGATTTTTTTTACAAATTTGATAAGAATGTGTGTAATAAACTTTATATTATAATTAATTTGTTTAAAATAATAAATACATAAATTGAATGTTTCATACTATGTATACATGCACACATATATATTAAAAACTAATGTGATATTTTTGTTTGTATTCAAATAATGATATTTGCTGCTTTGTTTGTAATATAGCTGCATTTTCCTCTAATTTCGTTTTCTTTATTAATTTCTTTAAGATAGGTTTGGTTAATATACCTTCTATAATACATTACCTATATAGTATTAAGTACTCAACATTGCTAGTATTTTCATTTTAACCAGAATTATATGCACAATACACATAGAATAATTATACAAAATAAAAATGAAACTATGGAGTCAATTGATATATTTTACTTTTTCCAAAGTCTCGATTAGTATATTTTTCGTTTCCCAATCGAAGATTTAATTGGTATAGTTTTCTTTTGTATCAGGACTCAAAATGTATATTATTTTTTTTTTATTCAGGTATGGGACTCCATTAGTATGCGCCGGATCGATCAACTTAAAGCGCGCAGGGATTGCTGCAGGTATACTTGACGTCATTAGCATCTCGACGGTCGCAATATTGCTATCGTTTGATTCACTGCTATTTGTCTGACGTCATTCGATTCTTTTTGATATGTTTTCATAAGACGTTCTCCTACACGTAAGCTCCGTGTATTGCCCCTAAACACATCGCGTGTTCCAGGGTCATGTTAATGTGTTATGACTATTCATCTTTTCCGGAGTAGTCACGTTTTTCGCGATACCGCGGTCAATGGCGTACTTGCAAGTTTTTGAGGGCTCAGTTTAGTAGTTTGGTAGTAAAGTAAGAAGTAGCAACCACAAAAAAAGACTTGACTTGAGACCACTATATAGTAGTATAAGTATATAGTGTAATATAGTAAAAACTAGTGATATTAATAAGACATTTCTGACTGTTTAACTAAAATATTCAAATGTATTTTAACAAAAGCAAACCTCTATAACACACTAGGCATAGTAAGTATTATTTCACTGCTAGTATGCGATTAAAATTCAGCACCTTTTTGAGATTTGAACTTTAATACTAAAATCAAGTTTTTACAATTATAATATTGATAATTACATCAAGTACCCAATGAAAATATCGTGAGAGTGTATTAAAATGCATACTTATATAGACTTTTTTTCTAATATTTAATATTGACGACAGAGAAATGTTAATTTGAATTACATTTTTTCCGTCCAAAATTAATTTACTGAATTTTACACTAAAAATAATTTCATTTTTTTAACTTTTGATAATAGATTTGATTTTTGAATCTTTGAAACTAATACAATGAATAAAGATTTTGTTTAGAGTTTATTAGAATGATGCTGAACTATATAAATTACTTCGTTTGCAATCAAATTATTTTTATTAGATAAGACATTTAAAAAATATTAATACTACATAGCTTATTGCATTTAGTTTCACAACTTTGATATCATTGATTCATTCATATATTACATATTTTTATCTTGTATGACATTCTTATACAATTTTAAATCAAAAATAATTTTAATTTATACTAATATGGCATATACTATTATAACACAATATAATAATATGTCTATCAAACATCACAAGAGCTAGCTAATATAAGTTGTTATTTTTTTTATCAAACTCTTTCATAAAATTTCACAATTTCATAACATTGCATTGAAGAGTATCTACCCTATCTTATATTGTTTCCATCCTAGAAGATCACGTCTAACACATCTACACCTACACGATATTGTTGTAGAAATAAAAAATACGATAACATTTTTTTTCCAAGTTTAAACAATACACGTAAAATAGGAAAAATGTACGATGAAAAATGTTTTTATGAAAATTAATTACTGCGAAACAATTACTGAAACTGAAACAGTTCGTTTTGAGAATCGATATTTTAAATTAGTTTTCAACCGTAAGCATATTTTGCGTAGTAAGCCTATACACGGTTGTTTACACCCAAAGTTTTATATACCTATGTGTAATATATATAGACTATATTGTTCATCCCGGATTAAAAAAAAAATATATATCTTCGAAAAAGTAATATGACGACCCGCGTTTGCAGCGATTGCAGACGGTGAATAAATGAACGGCCAAAACGAAAAAACTGTTTTGCAAAAGTTCGTTTTTTGAGTAACACTGAAGGTGCATACAAAGTATAATAGGTATGTACAACTATAGAATAATACGCCGAACAACAGACGACTCGCGTCAACAATATGCATATTACATAATATACACATCGAGTTGTTGCGATGACAAGGTAGGACAGTTCAAAAACGTCGGAAAACTTTTCGGTCGTTTGAATAAGCGTCACCCCCCCAGCAGCCGCCGATGCAGACTTCTAGGCGGCGGCGACAAACAAACTTTGGCACGCGCCATCTGTTGCACACCCGCTAGGTCGGGGATGGATGACCGTCAAACCGAGCCTCGGAAACGACTGCTAAATATAGTTTGACTACATATCGTCAATGTTTAATACATACGTATATATAATATACGATTATCATAGTTACTCCAAATATCGTGGGTATAAAGGCAGTGGATGTGGTTTTGATGCATGTGGCACAAATTTTAGGACTTACTGGGACGCGAGTTATGACTTATGATGTGTTTCGATGTATGACGTTCATACTGTGCGCGGTTCGTCGACGTGACGGCGTCCATTGGATCTAACGAAAGACTAACAAAAATCAAAACCTTCCTCCCTTATTTAAAATGGTTGTGATGTTATATCCTTTACCTTATATAGCTGATATAAAACTGTCGCTTGATGGTCTTGCTCAAAGACCCTCCTCCCCTGACACGCAACAGGACTATAATACCAGATAGACAATTTATGAATATTATTTATATTGTTACAATACTTCATTTCATACTATTTTTTATTGTTTTAACTTTAAATTTTTCTTTTTTTAGTGACAATAATATACATTTTTAGTTCATTTTTCCAATGCAGAATATTTTTCCGATACTATGTTGCTTAAAAATCGAATTTTGGACGAAAAGTTTCTGAGTTATAATTATGTATTAAAAGTTTAGATGAGTTGATATTGGAGTAGCACAGGGGCACTTCACCTAAAGTTGGTTCACTACTCTGCTCATCAAAACTTTAAACACTTATAAGTTATTACTAATTCAATACTCGTCCTAAAATTTATTTTTATGTATCGAAAAACTCTGAATAATATTTTTCTTCGGAATGTGTAATTAAAAATGTAGTATAATATGGTCATTCAAAAAATTAAAAACTTGAAAAATGGTAAGTAAAGATAAAAAATTGTAAAATTGTATTTTATAACGACTTAAAATTATTTAAAAACATATTAACAAAACCAATCATAGTGTTTGAAATACTAAGTGTAGTATAATACTAACGACTATGTAAAGCATTATAAGTATGATATCAAGTCTCTCGTTCGACTTACCAGTTCGGGGACAACGGTGCAACGACGTAGACAGCTCGAGGAAATTCGTTCCTAGATCGATCTGACGTGGATATTCACGGGAGTGGTAGTTTTCAGATGGGTAATTATTATGATAATCGATCGTAAACGATGAACGAAATTAGACAAAATCCAAAGTGAACAATTATTATATGAAAATAAAACAAACGGACTGCGGACTCTAATCGATCTCTGCTGCGGGACTCGAACGGGTAAACCGGTTACGCGCGCAAAACAATAACACAACAGTTATACTATGATACCACGGTTGCAGTAGGTACGACAACGGTTCCGCGACAATTGGCCGGCCCCGCGAGTCCACCGGTGCATATAAAGACCGATGATGCGCCGCTAGCCGCTCCCCCCCTCCTCCCCCGGACCCCACCAATATCGGACCGAGGTCACGGCTACGCAGCGCGCCGTTCGACGGTTGCGGTTGCTGCTGCGACGGAGGCGTCGGCGATGGTGGCGATGACGTCAACGGGTGCGTGAGGGCCGCGGTGCAGTCCAAGAAGGAAACTCTGCTCGCATACACACCGCAGCGGTCATCCGTTTTACGGTCTCGTCGTTTCAATGTCCTCGAATTCGACTATTAGACTTTGGTTTCAGGATCACATCCATTTCAATAGGTTTCGTCACCCGGTCATAATTGATACTATTCAATTTGAGTCATTGGAAATTAGATTTTGTAGTTCCTAACACACTTTGGTGCAATGTTTCATTTGGTCCACTGTTGACAGTTTCCGAATAGCCGTAGAGGTTAAATGTGTCCAGCAAATCATCTACTAACATCGAATAACAGGATTGATATGAAAACTTCACTGGTTATTTCACTGTATGGGAGTGTCAATCATATATCGTTGAACGAGAGTAATGAGATGATCTGAAGATTGATATCTGTGTCCACGGTATTGAAGTTCGTCCAAGACTTTTCAAGTCATATTCAACGGAGATCCGGCCATTTTTTAAACATTGGAATCAGTCAAAAGTTACACAACGACTCAGGTAGAGAATTGTACCTTCAGAAGTCAAGTGTTTTCAATTCATTTTTTGCGATTTTGAAACAAAATTTAATACACGCACGTAGTTGTTTCATCGTGAAATTGTGTTTTTATGCAATATGTGGGATGTGCGTAAGTTGGCCCACCACCACGACCAATTTATTTGCAAATTGTGTTTAGAATTTGAAAATCATTTCCCGGTCTGGTATAAAAAATAATAATATTGTAATATTAGGGAGGAGGGAAACTTCGTGCAATCATCAATCAAATTATGTAGCTAGCGACTTTAAAATTGTAACAAAATTTGATGCAAACACGTGTTTGGAATCAGGTGTACTATGGTAGTAAGTGTTATGTATTTACCTAATGGTAATGGTAATATATGGAACGCAGCTTATAAGAATTACCGTCACCTATCTGGAATTATCAATAAATACATTTAATAAAGTCGGTTATAAGACTTACATTTTACTCAAGGACCCTTCCAGTTTCGAAAAAAATTTACAGAAAATGTAGTCACTTTTGGTAAAATTTCGAAAATATCTAATTAGTTAATTTTTATAGTTATTATTGAGTTGTATTAGTGTAGTGGTTTCAATTAGTGCCTTAGGTATTTTTATCGCAATTGTTATCGAATATCACATTACCTTAGCACTAATTTTAATAAGCAATACAATATAATTGTTGAAAATAACAAAAAACAAACAATAATTACACATTTTTAATAATTAATAAATATTATGTAATGATAACATGTAAAATAAAGATAAGTACCAAACTACTATTTAATTTTAAATGTTTTTTTTCCGTTTTTCCCCACTTCTCCTATAAGGTTTATTTGGTTATGAGGCTCATTTTGTGCTGGTCCCAAATTGAATCTTATAAGCTGCGTCCACTGTACTATAATGTGTGTCACATTCTACTTGACCCGTGCAATGTCCTCGGCCGGGTGGGTACTGGACAGTAAAAAAATGCACTCGACCATATACGTGCGTGTTTAGTTTATCGTATTATTACAATGACGCGAGAGATGAGTAATTGGTTTTTCGACGAATCATTTAAATGGGTAGGCATGTTTGCTTTTCGGACGTTAATCACACTCAACGTAATCCTCTGTAATACATTATATTATTAATAAAGTATAAATTATATAATATACTGCAGGTTGGGCCGTCTGGTTTTCGTGACGCGGCTTTACACCGAAGGAAAGCGGGAAAACAAAGTCACCCTATTGGCCCAACTAGGAGGGAATGGACAAGGACTTGTGCACCACTAAAAAATAAAAGCCTTTTTCTTTTATATTTTTATTATATGGTATACTATAGTATACTATATATTGAGTAATTCGCTATTACATATGTTCTCAGCTATACCGAAATATTATAAAATAATCTTTAGCTTATTTAATGTTGTATAGTACAAATACATAATTATTTGCGACAGTAATCATTATAATAATATTTTATTACACATTTACGACATGACTTTGAACACAGGGTAACGATATTTTGCTTTAGCTATATCAGGATGCAGCACTATGAATGCGAGTACATTAACATTCTTATAGTTTAAACATTGCTATAAGTTTTGAGATACAATAAACAGTTGAATTATTTATTTCAAACAATTTTTACTGTTTTTTTTATGAAAATTAAATATGTCAATATTTATATACCATATTATCTTTGACTTATATTCTATAATAATTAATAATATTAAAGCATTACAGTACTTACCTAAAGTTAAAAAAAAACAAATATTAAACAGAAACTGCAGACAATTTAGATTCTAGGGCTTTCAGTTACACAGTTACATAGTTTTTGTTCTACTTATGGTTCAAAAGATTTACAAAGTCCTCAACTAAATACAACTAATTGTAATGGCATTATTGATTTGGGTAATCGAGAGAATGGGCCACTTCGTCCTGAACTAGTAGCAATTTAAGAAATATAATTTACTGGACAGACAAATTATATTAAAGTATTAAAGTACTTGTGACAATTTAATTTTCTTATGCAGCGTAAGGTGCTAGGGGTCTGGATACTTTACAATTCATGCACCCCAAAAAATATTTGTCTAGTTGCGCCCATAGATCACCAACGTCATATAATTGTGTCTACATCAGAAAAACGATACTGTCACTGAGTATCACTGCTAGGAAAGTTAACCTCAAAGTCGAGACCAGACAGTGAAATTATATTTTTTTTCTAACACACGAACATTTTTGTTTACTATACTACTTACAGTTACGCTTAGGTGTATATGCAGTTCGCTCACATTTTGTGTATTCTCACAACAGAATTTCCTTTAAAAACTTCACCGTTCTAAGATCTATATATTTACTGCCGTTACTGATTACTGAATGCAATGCCCATCGATACTATAGAATAAGAAAAAAATGCATTATGCTTTGTAGATATTTTATTTGCATCGTGGTAAGTGTTTAAAATTAATACTTATTCGATATATTTCATATTGAATGATTCTAATATCAAAACTATTTCGGTTATTTTAAACCAAGTATAGTCCTACAATCCACATTGACATCGATGATATAATAAGAAAATACGTATCATATATTCATATAATACCGACGCGTCGTGGAAACGGTTGTTCTTTATTCGAATTTTCCCTGGATAAGTCGTTGTCGTTATAACATATCATAAGCGTGCCATATGGATAGACACGACCACAATATTATACTAGTTGGACCGTTCAACGTTAATTATGTAATTGGACACGCGCGTGCAGACGCCGTCGGTGTGGTGGTTATAATATGCTTTAGGTGTTTTTCTTTAGATTTATTATTATTGAAAGATCTTTGGTCGATAGGAGTATAGAGTATTGATACAAAAAAAAACCCGATAAGATAGTTAAAAATAGAATAAAGAATTTGTACTAAACGATACCAGTTGGATGTCTTTAATTTTCCTGGACATTATTAATACAGAGCTGATAGGGTATAAATTATATAATATTTAATATCACACTAATAAATTCAATATGTATAATACCAAATCATAATACGAGTAGTAATATAGTCATGCCTATATTAGATAAACCCATGGTTAAGAATTGTGTAGAATTTCTCATGAAATTGTATGATTGCATTGCATTCACTTAAATTCACAGCCCCGAGAATCATACATTAAATATTTAAATCTATATAGTGGAAGGTACTATATTATAAAAAAAATCTAACGCCTTAATCAATTATGCAGCTGTAGTGTATCTCCGCATATTATTATTAAGTTAGATAAGCGTATGTGCCACTTTACATAAATAGACCCTTGTCTTTTTTTTTAAATAGAATGCGCTAATATTTAAGAGTAAAATCGATGATTTGGACATTTTGTTTTCAGATTTGGGGAAAGTGCTATAAAACATAAATTTAATAAACTTCAAAGTTTTCAAAATATAACCCACCGAAAATTAACTAACATCTTCCGACATTTCTATCGCATTATGTAAAACTAATAAAATATACCATATTAAAATCGTTTTGTTATGTAAAATCAAATTCAATATTTTATGAGTTAATATAAGTACTAAGTATTACGAAAATAACGTACAGAAAATTTCAAAAGTTCTCCAACAATGTCCAACAATTTTATTAGATTAGTTGAGTCGATCTATGTTAATGTTGTACTGCTAAGTTTAGTGGGGTGGGTGACCTCTTTCACTACCTCGTCGCTGATTAGTCAGTGTGTACAGAAAAAAACGCGGTCATCGCTGGCCTCGCTATCCGCGTCCGCCGTTGTGCGGGCGTTGGATTCTCAACCTATAACCGTTATTGTAAGTCCGGAAAAATGTGTTGTGCAGTGTGACAACATAATATCGGTAAAATGGTTCTATACAATTCTATATGTATGTGAGTGAGTCTCATCACTTCCGGTCCACGTCACCCATTTCCCGAGGATAAGCCGGGGGTGAGGCTCTTCGAGTGTCAAGGTGTACCTACTATGTTTTTATATATAGAATTCCGTAGCACAAATAATATGTTTTGGATTTATAGAGGCAAAACTTGTTTTGTTAGTTGTAACCTAACCTTTCTATGATGTTATACCTCTTTTTTTCCTTTTTTTTTCCTGTTCAATCGAACCTTCCTGTGGTATCATATACCTACTTAATACTAACGTTAAACTATTATAAAGCTACCTATTAAATTATTATGACTAATAAATTACATGTCATTAGTATTACTTGATTAATAATAAATTAAAGAGAGGTAGCATAAGTGGGTATCATTCTGCTGTACCCACAGTAAGTTGTAAGTGAGTCACTGTGATAGATGTGTTAAATTTTTATTCAATGATAGGAATGTCATTGAGAACGAAAAACGATTCTGAGATAATGAAATATATATTGTTTTCATTAATTTTGGAATCAAAGCCACATTTCAGTAGAACCAGGGGTTAAAGTGGGGGACGCAGGAAGGCCCTACCTCTGACGGCTGTTAAAAAGCGTTCACTTTAACAAATTAAAATTGTATACATTAGATTAGACATGATACATACAATTATAAATGGAAATGCTTAAAACTATATGGAGTTAGTTAGTTAGTTAGTTAGTCCCCTCCGGAATTTTTTCCCACTTTATACCCTGAGTGGAACAGTGTAAATAGATCCGTAGTATAGGGCAATAAGTAATAGCTTTTTAATTTTTTAATTTCTTCTCACAACAACTTATAAGGAACCTTTTATTACATTAAAAATTTTTTTTATCGATGATAGTTGAAAAATACCAACACTGTCAATTTTATTCACATCAAGGTATGTCGATTGTCGGACGAATTAATTTCAATAAAAAAATCACCGGTCAAGTTCGTAAATAGTCAATACTCAATAGTATTTCTCTATTAATTTTAAAACGTCTTATTATGTTTGAAACCCTTCATGCGATGAATGCTTAAAACAATGATTAAGTATTTATACAATATTTGATCAATGAATAAAGTCTGAGAATGGAATAAGTTAATAAGTATAATAATAGAAACGTTTTAATATGCTTTAAAATATAACTTTGTAATATCCTTGTTGTATACAATATACATATTTAATACTAACTTAATTAAGTAACTATTATCTCAACATTGGCGATACGATATTATGTGGCAGTTATAATATTGAAATTTAATTTTTTACATTACACGCTGATAAATAAATAAGATACAATTCATTTTTTTATCTGGTTGATTTAAGATGATTAATTGGCTATAATCTCGAATAACACAAAAAAAAAACATGTGCATCATTTAGGTGTTGAAATACAGTATTACGCACGCATTAAAAATTATGAATTCCTTGATTGTGTATAAAATATTAATCGAACACGTGATTCTCAACGCAGATTTTGTTATAAAAAGCTATCAATCACATTTTTTAAAATAAATATTTAAAATTTTAAGTAATTTACCTAAAAAATAAGAGATTGGACGTATGTTAAACATCGTTTTCAACCATGTACACTATTAAACAATTGTACAGAATTTACATATTATGTATATTACTCACTTCTACTAATTGTATCATAAAATTTAATTGTTCATTTTTTTTTAATTTATTGAATACAAAAGAATAATATATCCACTTCTGAAACAACTAATAAATTAAATAGTACATATTTTTTAATTTTAAACTAAACTAAATAGTTAGAAAACGTTTGTGCCTAATACCTATAAATACTTGAATATTAATGTTTCATAAACTAACCTTAATATCTACATAGTCATTTTCGTTGTCGAAGTATAATTATTAATTCTTCGTTTAAACTATTTCAACAACAATTCCTATTTAAATGCATCACCTGAATTTTCATTTTTTTTTTCTGACATACGATCTCTTATGTTCACGTTAGTCAATAGTATGACTCTTATTAAAACGTAGATAAACCAATAAACTTAAATAGGTAGACCAATAAAATAATTTGGTCAACTCCAAAATAATTGATGTTATGAATTTGTATCATAGTATAATTTATAATGGGATACTACCATGTTCATTTAGTACACAAGTGAAACATATAACAATTTAATTGCGAAAAAACATTGTGATCAAAAGATCATAAATATACTGCATTTTACGTTTCAAACAATATCCTTCACTCTGGTATAAAGACAAATATATAAAGGAAATAGCCAAAATCCTGTAGCGCTGAACCATATCTCTTATAATAATTCCCACTCTTGACTCTGACACTATTCCAGGGAATCTTCTTTTCATAGATCAAATCATTACTAAGTAGTAAGTATTAATCCACCACTCAAATGGAACAATTAAATCTAGAGTCTAGATTTTACTATTCTAGGCTGTCTAATCAAATTATAAAGTGTCGATAAATGGGCGGCTTCACGGCACCCATATTTACAGAATAAGTGCCCAATTTTGTAATTAAAAGTCATAACTGATCGTGGAAAACATGGCACATTCAATCGAACAATCCTACGATTAACGTTTAGACTAGTTGCAATGGAAGATCTCAATTGTACTAAAATAAATTGCACAAATAATTATATTTGGTAAAAATATTAAAGTACTATAAGATTCAATAATTTATGGTGAACCGTTCTAAACGTGCAATTTCAAATACAAAAGAATATAACTAAACATGATTATACTGCAATGTAATAACTAATAGGTAATAAATAATAATTTACATTGATATACGAGCGCACGACTATGTGGACGCAAACGGACTTTAACAAGTTATAAAAATATAAAAGGTGAGCGTTTCAACCATTAACAAAGTAGGTGGGTAATTGAAAAACGGTAAGCTTGAGCTTACAGATAAAATATATTGCCGGACTGCAACCTTCGAATAACTCAATGATGAGTGATGACTATAGGGTTACAATAAAATATTATTAAGAATAAAAATAATAATAGGCACTTAGTGGTACTTGTAATTATAAGTACATATTGTATATCTTATATATTATTATATTTCTTGCTTATTATTATAAGGAAATTGATCGGGGACTGATATTATTATTCCTGGAATAATTGAAAAATATAACTTATAAGTTGTGTATTTGAAGTTCGGAAGATCAGAATTAGACGGCACAGGGGTACGCTGAAAAATATAGGTACATTCATCATAATGTTAAATATTTATACCTAATTTATTGCTCGTTAATAATTCGATTTTGATGTATACAAATACTTCCAACAAATAACAGGCTTCGGAAAATGATATCTTAATTTAAAATGTATGACGTAGTCATCCAATAAGTAAAAACCTTTCCAACAAAAATTATGATAAAAATTGATTAAAAAATTAAAGACTTTAAAATAATGAGTGTAGACACTGAAGTGTATCAGATAGACAGATAGTGTAATAGATTACTTTCAATCGTCTGCATGAAACCATAGCAACTATAGACAAGCAATGAGTGTATGGAAAGCGCGTAACAACACAGAGGGCGCTTTTTGGTCACTCGACTACTCGTACGAAAGGTAGTGCGGGGTAGCAGGGTAAGATATATAGACATAGAGATTATTGTATTTTTTTCATAAGATAGCCTACATCACTACGATATGTTATGCCTTACGCCGCTCGCAATGCTATTGTTATACACAGTTTTTATCTAGTAATACAAAGTCTATGACTGGAACGCATAATATACCTACGTTATATCATCGTAGACGTTGTATTTAGACTGTGCGTTAATGGGACGTGTATTTGTGTTATCAAAATCTGTGTTTTTTTTTCGGTAATTCATACATCCAAACGTTTATTATTATAGTTTATGATTTTATGAATATTGTTTTTTTAGGATAGAACATTAAACTAAATATCCAATCGTTTATAGGCCCAATACAATTATTTATTTCACCCAAAATCTAACAAAACACTTTAAAAATTACATTTGATCAAACTCGAATAACCAAATTGAAAAAAAATTTACACGAAGTATACTTTTTTTTAAATGATAATGTTAAAATTGTGATTTACACTTCACAATATTATACTAGCAATTTATTTTGCAACAATAACTAGGTGTAAATAAAAAAAATTAAAAATAATAGGTATTTAATATGCTAACAAAACATTTTTGCTCATTAACAACGTGCAATATTATGCTATTTCATCTAAACCAAATCTATTATAGTATTACCATAAGCATAGATTTGATGTATAGGTATAATATACATTTACAAAGTTATCTATAAAGACTATTTATTTACGTGCTTATCAAATTGGATTAATTAAATATCCAACAAATAAGAAATTCGAAAAAAAGTCTAATCGACTTGCAAATATAGTAATATAAAAACTGTTATTTTCATTACCTACTTACATATTATAGAATTTATATTCATGACTTAAACTGTAAAGTTTAAACTAAAATATACTGAGGTGCGAATATATAGTAAAGCCATACAAAATAAGAACTGAATATTTACAAGCTTAATAGGTACAGAAATATTTGCTTGATTATTATACAAGTTAGTTTTCTATGTATACGTAACTAACAAGAATTTTGAGTTTAAATAATATCGCTTCAGGAACAAAAACCATCAACTACGAACACACACACACACGTACTGGTAGATATATAAATGTATTATTTACGATCTGATGAGAAGTTCGTTTTAGAAAAATTGTATATATTTTTATACAAATCTCGTGAGATTCCTATTATTTTTAAGTCACAAATTTTTTATCATCACGTGTATAATACGTATATATATCTATAACATGTGAGCAACATTTGAATGTGTATATCAAACATATTAATTACTATTATACAGACATGTCCGCAAGATAGTGTATAATATGGATATATAGTAATTACTCAATAATAATTCCACACAATCATTTAATGCTACCTAACATAAATTATAAATACTTATAACTATTACAATTTTTTTTTTTTTTTCAGGTTCACAATAATGTCTAGTCCTCACCAAATATAATATCATGGTCCTTAATATTTTCGAATAACCTACAACGCGGTAACAAAAACAAACCACCCATTTTTGATAGTCAACAACAATAAACAATTATTATAATAAATCTATACAAAGATCGAGACATAAATGTTTGGTATGTAGTATAATGTAGTACAATTTACCTACGTTTAACACGGTAACAATATATAGGACGGACCGAGCAATATAATGGCGCCATATAAAAACCACTTTAAATAGAACAAAAATGAACCAACACATCAGTATATTAGAAGCGTAACGGCCAAATACATTCGGAAAGAGTATTCTCGAATATTAACCGATACAGCCATTATAATAATATTATATTATTATGTACATTAGAAATCAAAGAAAACATTGTTTTGGGAAGACTCTTTGTCTGCTTGCCGTAGTTGGCTGCATTGCTCCTCCTCCGACTGACCAGCAGACTGATCAAATGACAGAAGTGATACTTCCATGGAGTCGGTGGAGGATAGCGACAATCATAGGCACCTGGAGTCGAAAACTTGTAATGATTTTGTGATTGCCTCGTCCTGTTAAAATTCAATCAACAACATATAAATTATAAATTGTGTATTCTTTACTAATAAAATAATAATATGTTTAATTTTAAAATATTATACGATGGATAAGTATTACCTTTAAACATGATTCAATAAATTCTTCAAACGTAATCACACCATCTTGATTGATATCGAGTTTTTGGAAAACCATATCGGTGTGATCTTTGGATTTAGTACTACCACGACCCTATCAATAATAAAATACAATAATTAAAAATGTTAAAATTATCTAGATTTAACGACAATAAATATAAAGCAATATAATTATATTTAAAAAAAAACCATTACACGAGGGTTTAAATATTACTTGTAACATACAACATTACATTTTATTTCTTCATAAATGAGAATAAACTAATATCACACAGCCCCATAATTAATGTAATAGTCGGCACAACATTCATATAATATTGCCAATACCAACAAAATTGAAAATAATAATGCAATTAACCACAAGCATATGAACAACAAAAATAATAATCATATACAAAGCATTCAAAATACAAACCCACTATAAGACCAAAAAACTCATATAGAAACCAACAGTAATATCTTCGGAAGAAAATTATCCACTGAAACCACACTTAATATAAGACCGTCCCCGAAAAAGTAACAGTTTTCGATTCAATCGACAACATACCTCAAATAGTCAAGTCAAATCTAATATGTCATACCAATTGGTAAATTAATATTTAATATCACCAACAGGCAACAAACATATCTCCTCAACGTTCTCATGTCCAAAACATATCTGAATTATCTCCCTCTATATATCCCAATCACAAGTCACTATCACAAAATCCAATAAAACACCTTTTAATACACACTATTTTATTTATTAATACAAATTTTTTTATAGAGAAATATTGAGCTGAAAAGGACACTATTTTTAATAACATCAATATTATAATATAGTAGAATTAATAGTAGAATATCTGATAATACAAAGTAAAATAAATAATCATAAATGTTGTATCTTTCAATGTAATATCGTTGCACTAAATAATTGTTCATAATTTTAAAATACTATTTCTAAAGAGCCTAACTGTCGTTGGTCTCGATGTAAAAGGCTTAAAAAAATTAAGACTGTTTAAGGGAAAAATGAATAATTCAAAACGGTTTACCCCATTGCAAATAGCCTAGGTTTTTCGCAAAAATACTAATGTCTTAAATGGCCTACGACGTACCTAACCAAACCAGTTTCAAACTCAAAGATACTTCTGGGTGGCTTACGGTCAAAATAATACACTTGGGGCATATACATAAAATATTGCCACATTCCATATAGGGCTCTAAACCTTAAATTCTATTACAGGTCTATAAATCTCATATTCTACCAAAGCTTGATTGTGGTGCTTTAATCTCATCAATAGCTAACAAATCATCGATCAAAAAACTCGACTTTATTCACAAATTAGGTCGGAGTATGTCTATAGGCGCTTTCCTCTTCTCAAATTCAATTCCAAATGTTAATAATTTAGCAGATATTTTCACATTTGATATAAGACTTACATTGTCCCAAAACCAGGAATGAAGACTCGCTTACTCAGTATCATAAATTTACTTAAGTCCTAACCAGCAAAAAATTTACAATTAACTTGAAGAAAATCAATTAGAAATTACCTCAATAATTCTAATCTTACTTACAATTGAACCACAAATGGAATGGACAAATAAGGCTGCTTTCGAGGTCCCAAATTTCGTAAATTCTCGCGGCCAGGGCCGTGGAGAGAGAAATCCGAACCCGGGGTAATTCCTTAGGGGCCCCCACAATTGTCGATCACCTATCATTAACTTTGTCAAGTAACTGTTTAACAGGCAAATTGTGTTCGCTGTGTTCGTCAAATTTTTATTTTTAATTGTTTCTTTAGTTAAAAATATTGAGCAGTCCCAAATTTCCAGGTTCATTGCAAATACTAGTCCCGGCGAGAATTTCACCAATTTTACCCCTCTTATCAGAATCACTCACTGCACCTCTCAACCAAGACCCCAATTTTGTTTCCATCTCAAATAAATTCATCATCACTGCCAATCTACTGAATAAGATTTAACCCCCTCCAAAATAGTCTGGAAGTAAATGCACTAAAAACTGCCAAACTATTCATGCATTTATGCACTTAAAAACGCTGAATTACCCTTGAATACTTTAATATATTTAAATATCTATACCAGTACAAAAAAAACTGTTTATTACTAAATATTGTATTTTATTTAGTTGACTGGTAATAAAAAACATTATCTTATCATACATTTAACAATAAAACATAATTTTTCAAATGTAAACTTGACATCGCAATTTAAAATCAAAGCTTTTGATACATTTTCAAATGTAAAGAAGTGCCAAATATCGTCCAGCAATTTTAATTACACCGAAAACCTCCGCTACGTGTCAACTAATAAAATGTGTACTTACTTATTTAAAACATATTACAAAATTTAACATATTATCAGCCCAAAAATATACAGGTCTATATAGTATACAGCCACAGCCATTATCGGGTCAACGTCATAATATATAATTTTCCTATTTTATTCATTATTTGTTTATTTTCTATTTATTTACAAATATATGTATATATGTATACATCGAAATGTCTTTTATAAGTTATTTTATTTGACGACCACATACCGCATCATATTCTATTATATACGTACTCTAATATGCAGTACACAATGACACATTTGAATAATATTCATAAATATGCAAAATAAATTTTTGGATTCGGTTTTGCATAGGTTTAAAGCTAGTTTGTAGCTTATCTATCAATTGCTTGGTCCATTCAGTAAAAACACAAAAATGCAAGACCTTTCAGGCCCTTATTATTTCTAGGGCTTATGTTTATGTAATTTAACATTGTCAATATCAATGACCAATGGCCACAGTTGCTGCGTGTCATTTATTTTAAAAAAAAAATCTGAAATGTTATTATAATTGGTTTATGCAGAAAAAGTTTGTTTTTGTAATATAAAAAAATTATGATTTAAAATAAATACAACTTAGAGAAATGAAAAAAGTTAAAAAATCAGATAGTTTTAATGTAAATAGACTATCCACACAAAAAGGTAATAATAATCGAAATCATTTTTTGATTAAAAAAGTAATATTTTCCTTAATGAGTTTGGGACTAAGAAAATCCTTTCAAACTTTAATAATCCACTCAACAAATTCAAAACAAAATTAAAATATATAAGCCACGTTGCACATAAAGCTTGAGTTTTTTACGTCCTAGTTTTTTTTATCTTTAAAGAAACGAGGAATTCAAAACAATGTTTATGTTTAAAAAAATATATCTTATAATCATTAAATTTGGTGTTTGAACTCGTATTATGTATAATATATTGTACAATAAGTCAATATGTCATGTATTTAAACAATTTTGCAAGTAGAATTTTTTACATTGTGTATTGGCAAGATTTATTAGATAAATGTTTATCTTGAATAGTTATGATAAGTTTCTTTTTCTTTCTTTCTTTCTCGGTTAAAATGTGTAAGCTAAAGTTATAATTACAGTATAAAGGAATACTATCTTGTTCTTACGTCATAGTATAAGCTGATATAATATGGTTATTGGTTATGGATAAAAATCTATACAATTTAACTCCAGTTCTAACTGTTTTTAATCAAAATATATTATACATTAATATGTAATTGAGTTTTCTGTACCAACCTCTTAAATTTAACTAATACCTAACTAGGTAATTGAGAAATCATCAATTCAATTTATTATATTTAAACTGGTATATTAAATTGGTAAGTTTAATCTTCAGATTTTTAAGTAAACTATAATTTATAATACCCGTTAGTCGTTACACATTATTACATTAAGTGCAATAAATCTTCCAACATTATAATTCCACCTTTTTAAAATTCATATATTTTATGATTTATTTATTACAATTTTTCATTTAAGTTGTAATTTAAATGTTTTCATGCCATTTCTCTAGTTATTTATTTAAGTGTAACAACGTTATAAAAAAAAATATATGGTCCTAATCTTTTACATATTATCACAATAATATTATATTATATTAACTACTTAATATAAACTAGTAATCATTTTTAATTTTAAACTCAAAGGAATGAATTTTGATGTAATATCCAATTGATATACCCAATGAAAATTTCTCAAAAGACAAATTGATGTTGTCTGTAGTGTGTAGTGGATTTAAAGTGTACATAACATCTATATATCATATTTTAAGATTATCTGTGTACAAAAACTACCAAATAAGTTTTGTAACTGAAGTGATCTGATATTTTGCCAACAACAAAATGTATTGAAGTTAAGTTTGAGTATTTAAATTTGTATACGATGCATAACTTATTTTGAAATACAATATTAAGCTTTTTATCAATCGTACATTACACATAAACAAAACTAGGTTCAAATATTATACTATGGCTGCTTAAATGATTAGCATTTATTTTATGTATTTAAAAAAAAAAACAGTCCAACTGTATTTTAATTAATATAATCAATATGGGGATTTTTTTCTTCATTCAATTATTTTACAATTTTACTTACTTTATTATTGTTTACATATAAAACAAAACTTTTTTCATTATTTCAAAATATATTTCTTCATTAATAATAAATACATAATATTTATTATTACGTTTGTTGCCATCGCTTTTAATGCACAATTAAAAACACTATAATGAAAACAAATGTTTACTGTTTGAACTAATCAATCAACTTGAGTTAACGATACATAAGTGGAGAATTATATTTATATTTAATTTATTTAAGGGAAAAAATATATAAATAATATTTAATTTAATTTTTATGAGGTTATTAATAAGTTTGACAAACTTCAAACACCTTCATTATAAAATGTTTAAATTAAATTATAAATCTTTGAAACTAGCTCCGGCTTTTCAAACTCACAATAAATTCTACATCATTTTTCAACATTTGTTCTCGAACACATTTTGAATAATATTATCTCTCGTGCATCCGTCGCTTAACTAACAACAGCTCTAGTAGATATATATGTCACTTAGATCGCAATGCATATTAGTTGGCACTTGGCACAAAGTTTTCATACTTAGTTATTCGGGAAACTGTAAGACATCCATTAAGATAACGCAAATATATACTTCGCTTGCTTATACACACACGACAAACACATACACACTCACTCACACACACAATATATATATATATATGTAATACAAACACGAGTTGAAATATTATACGTACTTGTGGTCTTTTGCCCATCAGCTCGTGGATGGCTAACACGATTTGACTGAGCTCCGACCTCGTTATGCATCCGTCGCCGTTTAGATCGTACAGCTTAAATGTCCACCTGAGTTTCTCATAAATAGACCCACGAAGCAGAGTGGATAGAGTCATCAACATGTCCTGCATAATTAATGTAATTAATTGAATAATCGAAACGATATATAGGCACCTATGTTAGCGCTTGAGGGAAACGGCGTTCAGCTGTAAGCCTTATACGGTCTGCACAAGCAATCGGTGAGGGCTTTTTTATTTTTAGTAAATAGCATATTTTACATTTCAATTTGTGATATTTTATTCAAAACAAAAAGAAAGATTACATTATACTGCCTGTATCTGTAAAGTTTCACACCGAGAATTTTGAGAGCTCATCATCTTACCCGCGATCGATAGTTTTAACGCTTTTGAACACCGGGAAAAGGGAAAGCCAGGGAAGAGAGGCCAAACTCCAAACAGATATAATATTGGAATTGTTTAACGCAAGAAAATGAATGGCATCTTGAAACATTCAGAATACAATGAAATACAAAAAAAAAAAATATTAAACCATTCGACGTTTGTTCATCTTATGTCATCGTTGAAAGAACGTCGATTTATTATATTTATGCTTCGGTAAATTCCATACGATATATACATTTGAATTATTTTCACTTGTGATATAAATTATAATAAATAATGCGATATACAAATAAAATGCTATAAAACAAATTTAGTGTATAAAATTGATTTATATAATTAAACTTAGTAAATGTTCAAAATATTATATCGTTGACAGCTGGTTGGTAATGTTCAAACTATATATTTTGAAGATTTACGATATCCAAATTAAATAATTCGTTATAACTCTGGAGGATATTACAGAAATTAAATGATATTAGACTGTAACAATGGAGCATTTTCAAGAATTTGTTTGATAACGAAAACAGTTTTTATCTATTGTCTTTTTGAAATAAAGTGTTTTATGGTGCATTTAGTAATAATGGTAAATCAAAGAATTAATACGAACGTACTACAAACATTTCAATAATGAAAGTAGATTTCATTCTCAATATTACATTTAAACTTGAAATAGTAATTATTCTAATGCATTCGTTCGAACCACACAATTTTATTGTATAAGAATTGAAAAATAAATATTTAAGGATAAACATAGGACCAAGAACATTAATGATTTATACGTGCATACTGCATATTCATAATTTATACGAAAAAATTGTACCCAATAAGGCAATAACTATTCATAAAACTTTTTAAATTAAACTAAATCATACAAAAATTGTATAAAAATTATTCTAAAAACTAAATGTAATAAAATTAAAAATATAATCTCTTATTTATAGGAATAAATTCAATTTATTTTGGGTTTTTTAATAGATATTGATTAATTGTTTGTAAAAAAAACTGTTAGTAGGTACCAGTATATTTTTACTGTCTTATTGAATTTTGGAAACTTTAAATTATATTCATTCAAATTATACTTCCAAATGTAAACTTAAATGTTCTCAAAAAAACTAATTTTTTTTCTGTATTTATTATTTGCCTAATTCTGATTTTTATTAGACTTTTCTACACTAAAATGACATAATAAAAATTATAAATGTATTTATCTGTTGTACAATAAAATTATGAAACGCCTATACTGGTCTATACTATATTATGCATAAAATACAATCTGTATACGTTTGTATAATAACATATCATAATAAAGTTAAGAACGAAAAAATATTATGACAGTAAAAAGTATTTTAGATTTTAAAGTCCATTCAACTTATAATTATGTATTGGATGTAGACAACGTAAATAATAGGAGAATGTGATTTCAATAACAATTTAATTTAAATTATAAAAGGTTTAAAATGGCTTCCACAAAAAGGATATAAAAACACTTTTGTGACTTCTTTTAATATTCTAGTAACGGGCTTATTCTACACGCAATATTATTTGCGTCAGATGTTATTATGTTAATATATATTATCAAGTAAGCACAACACAAACTTACTTTAAAACTAATTGCACCATTGCTCTTGACATCAAATGCTTTGAACACAAAATGAGCATATAAATTTGAATCTATAAATAAATATAAATTCTTAATATATTATATTATATTATTATATAGTTTAAATAAGCTTATGAATGTGCGAGACATTTAATTATAATACAAGATTTTTAAACATATAATAATGATAGAAAATAGAAATATAGAAAACAAAATGCTCCACCAATAAAATAATTGTATTTTATTCTACATACTCCCATGTGGAAAAAACTTGGAGTAGATATCTTTGAACAGATCTTCGTGCACGACTCCTTCTGGACATTTCTGAAACAATCATGTACAATTGAGGATATTACTATAGCATTCTAACTTACATTAAGTATTTTTAGTTCTAAAAGTTTTTACGATTATGCAGACCAAATGTTGAACATACAATGAATTCCATATAATAAAGTCATTACACTGAGCAATCAATTGATAATATTTCGTCGATTATCAAACTAAAATAACATTCAAACCGTATTTCATTATAGTATGTCATCATTAACATTTACAAATAAGAGTCATCAATAACCCAATGGGTTCCTAAATGGTTGAAATTTACAATTAAATGAAGGTGATCCTCTACAGCGTTTTTATACTTAAAATTTATTAGAAAATTATTAGGCCTCTAATAATATTTTAAAATTCAAAATACTAAAAAAACAAAAAGTTTAATATAGCTTTCAATCGACTAAATCCAGATTAAAGATAATCTAATAATTAATAGTATGTTATTTAACTTTATCATTTTTTAAAAATTTTTTCTTAAGGTCAAAACGTTTTTATACACTGTAATTTGAAATACTTATATACTAAATAATAAGAATAAAAATTATATTTAATATCGTGATTATGTGTCAAATTAATATTATAAATTATTAACATTATTAGTATATTAATAATTATATACAACCGTGTTAGATGTTAATAGAACTCAACAACACTTATAAAATTGTACATTTTATTAAACATTTGTGAATGATCTTAATCACTGTGAAATCACAAAAGACGTAATAATGTTGCCAAGGACTTTTTATTCATACAACGCTTGTAAAATCATAATCCACTATAATATAGTATTACAAACGAATTATTCAATGATATTCATTATTGGACAGCATCCAAAACCCACAACAGTACAATGATCACATTCATAATTATTATTATTTTACCCTTGTTAAGCCAAGGGTAAAATAATGAATAAATTAGCATACAATACTAGGTAGGTATAATAGATTTAAAATAATTTAATTAAGTTACATTAAGTTCATTAATACTATTATAAACAATAAAAGCAACTGGGTATTTGAATATTCATAATATTATCAAGTAATGTTGTGTGGAGGTATTAAACAGATTTATATACCTACTATATTTTCTTAAGTAAACTATATCAGAGTCCCTACTCACCAGACTAGATCTAACTTTTCCCTCCGTCAAACCGGTATCTACTCGAAAATATTTATCTTATTCTCCCTTATCTCAGCCAATACGGCTTGCTAGTAGACACGCAATTAAGTCGAAGACAGCGTCTTCTTCGAAATAATTTCACTACGTTTGTACTACTGTCATATTTGATTTTTGTGAATAAATATAAATTTCTCTTGAAAAAATTGTTAATTTTGTTTTTATAATTTATATTATGTTTTAAAGAAAATGCAGAATACAATTATAACCATCTAAATAATGTTGATGCAGGAAGTAACATTCGTTTGTACGTGGTGCCTAAGCACGTAAGTATATAATCTATGATCTTGGGTACACATTAAGTTCTTCAACAAGTTAAAATGGTTAATATCGCAAATACTAGTAGAAACTACTATGTTGGCATTATGCCCTAAAGGAACAAAAATAAAAACTAAACCTGAACACGTATGTACCACAATTGCCTACAAAAAACGCCGTATTACACAAAATCCTATAAATTCAATTTCAACACTTTGTTTCTCGTGTTTATAAAATAATGCCAAACATTAAGTATACATACAGTCACCTACATACAGAAGGTAGTCGCCACTTATTGAAGTCACGAGTCACGTTTAATGGACTCAAACAGGCTGGTCCCGGTGTCCATGTTTACTTAAACATAGGAAAAAAATCGTCTACTGGACTCAGTACACCGGTTAATAGGGTCAGTGTATATTTTTAAGTTCATATTTCCTCAATTTTTAGTCCATTTTCTCGATTTTATCGCTTTTATTTTGCAAATAACATTTACATAAAAAGGAGTGGCTGTTTTATAAGATCACAAATGAGTTACTAACACGAAAATTTATAAAAGTTTGGTATTAAACTATACTAAGGTAAAAATTATAATAACACATAATATATAGACATATTATAATACCTAATCCCCATGAAAAATGTATTAATATGATATTACAAGAGTATTGAAAGAAACTAACTATATGTGTGTTTTAAATGTTTAATAAAACACTATGGAAAATAATTTTTAAAAACAAGTATATAAACACATTTTTACATGAACATACAAATTATACAAATAAATTATCAGTCTTAAAATTATTTATCTTGTATCGTCGATCGATTTTTATTTCATTTAGTAGTATGCAAAAATTATAATTTATGATTGAAATGAATCATTTTTTTTTTTTTGTCTCTTTTGTTCTATTACAATTTACTTCAATTAACCTTGGTCAAATTAAAATAAATTATAAATGTAATGTAACTAATAATGGTGTCAGTTGTGAACCATCGATGAAAAATGTGATAAAAACAAAAAGAAAACATTAATGTCACCATAAAATAATAGGACAGAAGAGAAAAGCGTTGAACAATTTATCGTGAGAGTAGGTACCTACATAATTGTACTACAATACACAACATTGTATTGTACGCACAAACTAGTTACATGATAAATTACCTAATGTAAATTAATTAACATATTATTATCGTTGTGAATGTAAATTTTAGTCAACCGTTTCTATGCAATTTCACAATATTTGGTTAATCTAAGTTACGTTACACTTTAATTATTCTAAACAAGTAATCTATTTCTACATTTCATATTATTATACAATTGAATTATTTTAATTAAGTATAAATAAACTGTTATATATATTGGGAAAACTCAAAGCTGTTGTTTCAATCATCTTAACATTCAATTGACGAGGCAAATAAACAAAATATTAAATTTTATAAATTTAAAAATGTGTGAAAAATAATTTATAACAGGATTACAGTAGATCGGTTAATTGTAAAAAAGTATCATTAATGTCATACCATCCTATATATTGCTATATTTTACAGTCTAATGGACCACTTAGTATCCAAATGAGCCTTAATATACAATTTTGTTTAAATTTAAAAAATGATTTTTAAACGAAATTTGAAAGTTTTTTCTGAAATAACATCAATAATAAATAACGTAATGGGAAATTCATACACATCTGTACAAACATGTTGACATGCGTTAGCCATAAAATATTATTTATTTTAAAATAATTTAATAATATTATTATCATGTATCATAATTATATTAATAGGTGTATAAAATACTACTTAATAATATTAAATATACTGCTATAATTTCATGAGAAATAATATTTTTTTTAAGAATCGTACCTACTACATATCAGCTTGCTTAAGTTCACGTTTGAAGATATTTAGAATATATTTTCAATATTAGACCTTAGACCTAAATTCATTCCCAAGAAAACTATAGGACCCAGTATGACTTGTCACCAGTATATTAGCATTCACATTACAACTTCACACATTTTAGAAATGCGAGAAGCCCTTTTCATTTTGTGAGTTTCTACACGTACCTAGTATTTTCTTTGTGGATATCATACTATCATTTAAAATAAAACGGTTGACGATGTTAAAACAGTTTTATTTAGAAACATAATAATGGGTTTCGTTTATATATGTAACACGACACACGCAAAATAATAATAACAGTTGCAGTTGTACTCTAAGTCTCTACCAACAACTGCAGATTAAATGTGTAATCATAAGTCACAACGACGCGGAAAATAGTAATCGAGCCGAAAAATGGTCAGATTACTATAAAATAGAGATAAAAATGATAATATTGTAGTGTGAAATATAAAGCATATTAGATTATAACAATTAAAATAATTTTTATAAAATGGAATTATATTCATCACACTGTTATAGGATACAAAAAAAGATCTTTTACCCACCTAAAAAGTTGTATGATTTATTAACATTGACAAATTACAACTGTTAAATCGATTGAAATATTTAAAGTTTGTATTTAGTTATTAATACTGAATTCATAATATACCTAATATAGGTGTATTTCAATAATATTTATTCATTTATTTTTTTAATATAATTTTAAAAAAAATCTCAACTTTATTGGACCCCATCCCACCGAGCAGTGATGACGACGGCGAGAGATGACTTAAAGGTTGCAAGTGTGGTGAGTAGCAGCGTGAACGGCAAATAACTCGTTATGGTGACGAATCCCCTAAACCATACCACAAGCCACGGATACATCATTGGGCGTATGTTCAAACTTTAATGAAATACGAAATTTCTAAAAATAACACACGTGGTATCCGTGAAACAAATTGATGTAAAAATGATAACATAATTAAGTATTATAATTGTACAAACAGCCACGAGTTATTTGATAAAGTATTGTCATAATATTTTACAGAATATTGTACGCGAACAACGCCAAAATCAAAAACAAACACACCGCAGTTAACTCTGAAAGATATTATTGTTATTCTTCTCATTATTATTATTATTATTATTATTATTAAAATACTTTGTTTCTGTTTGTGCTATTGTACAGCCTAACTTAAACACAAGCATCACGATATTGCTGTACGCTCGTTTTTTGTTTAGGTGCATAAACTATTTAAAAAATACGAATAATACATGACGTGTACGTGCATACTATCTGCGTGAATCTTCCCGTGAACGATTGTACTCGTTTTCATCAATGAGATACAGAATATTCAAGTCGGTATATCGTGTAGGTGCACGTGCGTGTAAAAATCAAAATCACGGAAAAAAGACGGTGACCGACGATGCGATATCAAATAACAAAGAATGTATCGCAATAAAAACATAATGTCAACAGAACATCATGACAATAGGAATGCATCGAAAGTAAAAACACTGGGAAGTTTTTTTATAACATTAAACGAAATGAATTTAAAAAAATAATATACCTATTGGTAAAACGTTAATATTATGTGTTATGATTTGGTTAATATTTAATAGTAGATTGTACAGCGCCTTAAAATATTTATAGTGTATAATAATATTAGTATAGTGAA